CAGTCTCCTTCTGGAAAGGGGGCTGTAGGCTCACAGCACACTGGGTCACAGTCTCCTTCTGGAAGCGCGGCTGTAGGCTCACAACATATGCTATGGAGCCAAGCTTCAAGGATATATTTCTAGAATGTAAGCTTGCACTAAAGATGGCAAAACATTCCAGCAGTCACTTAATCAGGGAACGAATCAAGAGCAGGCACAAATTCCCAAAGAAACCTGTGTGATGCTCCCTTTAGAACAGAACTTTAGTCAAGGTCACTTTGTCCAGGGGACACTCATTCCATCCAGGTTAGACGCTAATGCAAATGCAACATAAAGCCCAGAAAACACCAGCTACCAAAAGACTATTCTAGAACGGCTCTCCAACCCTAAAGGCCAACAAGACCCCACCTCTACCCGCAGCAAGTATCTTTGGGGACCAAACACAGAGTCTCGGAGCAAGAAGCATATGATAAGACCTGAAGATAACCTGAAATCAAGCTGGTCCCATCTGGACCTAGCTAGGATGGAGGGGTTTGACTAGTCCCATCTGTGGCTTTATGCAGGGTGAACAACATAGGCGGAGTTTTCCATCTAGACTGCCTATTAGCTCTGTCCCACCAGCTGCTCTCCAAACAACCACACAGAGACTTGATATTAATTATAAATGCTCAGCTGATAGTTCAGGCTTGTTTTTAGCTAGCTCTTATGACTTAAATGAACACATTTCTATTAACCTATGTGCTGCCCCAAGGCTCATTCACCTCATGTACAGACTTCCCATCTTGCCTCCTCTGTGTCTCATGATGTCTCCTGACTCTGCCCTTCTTCCCAGCATCCTCTGGGTCTGGCTGTCCTGCCTATACTTCCTACCTAGCTTATGGCTATTTAGCTTTTTATTAAACCAATAAGAAGGCACCTCAGCAAAGACACATCTTCCACTGTGTACAAAAAGATTATTCTACAATAGATCAAAGCAGCCCTGTCATATGGGAGCAGATCCATAGAATGTGCTTGTGGTGGGGTCTGTGGCATGTAGACTCTGGAAGGCAGGGATCATGACAATTTACTCATTGGCTGTTTGTCACCTGGCACCAGGTCACTTATACACCGGACAGATTTGATAAGAATTTGTTGAATGGGTGAGTAGGTGAAAAATGCATGAATAAAAAGAAATAAGTATGTGATGTGATTGATGTGATGGAGCCTGGCCTTTGTGAAGGAGTCTAGGCATCGCTGCAGCAGAGAAAAAGGTATGCCGTTTAGGCAGTAGAGCTAGTATAATGTATGTCGACATGAAATAAAAGGCAGCCTGAAGCAGCCAGGGAGTTATGACCCCCTGGAGGTCTCACACTCAGCAGCAACCTGATCGATATCTCACTACATCTGTCAAGACAAAAGACAAAAACCAAGGACACAGCATTAGGATGTGGACAAACTAAACTACATTTGAACTGCCCCAAAGTCCAGGCTCACATCTTATTTTCCAGGCTCTCTACTGGCTGAGCGCCGGGTGCTGGGAATGACACAAAGCAGTAAGTCACTCTTCCTATCAAAGCCAGGGCCTCATAACCAGAGAGACATAATCAATGAGGGCTTGTGGTGATCGGTGTGCAGCGCCCCAAGGGAAACATAGTCTGTAAACTGTGTGGGTCTTAAGGGGAGCAAAGCCGACTGCCGATGGGAGAGAATTTTATCTTATTAACCTTAAAACGTTTGACCCTGTGCTTTCCCCCCAAGCACTAGGAGATCAAGAAGAGGAGAGAGTCCTGACCTGACCCCTAGGTAGTACACATCTGACCTTGTACCCAGAACTAATGTTCCTGTAGTAGTTCCAGGGTCTGCTCCCCAGAATCGTCTCAAACAGGTCAGCAAGGGAAAGACAGAGCTTCTGCAGCTGCAGGAGACTCCTGAGAGAAGACAGTGCTGGTGGAGTGTGAGGCATGTCTCAGAAGCCCACCAATAACTTGGCAGTTTTGTTTAGAGCAAGACCTGCAGGCCTGGGTGCAGGGTCCTTCTCAGTGCCCAGCTGTGTCCCCAGATCAGAAGGAACCTGACTCTTAGAAGTGATGGTAAACTCAAAAACTCATGTAAAAGAAATTACAGACTGGAGATGATTTGCCACAAGATCCCAGTTACTAGGGAGTTGCTCCAGCAAGATAGTTGGGGCCAAACCAGGGGTGCACTGCCATATGCAAACCTTGACTGGGGCAGGTCCCAGAAAGGTCAGGGGTTAAAAGTTATTCTAAGGCAACAGGGGGTTCTCTAGGATTTCATCACCTCCTGTGAGTCTGTGGTTCCTAGCAGTGTAATGTGCTTTACTCCATTCTCTTGTGGGAAAGCTGAGTCTCTGCAATATGTAATAAACAAAGCTATAAGCAGCAGGTTACCCTGGAAACAGACTGGATGAGGGCTTCCAGGCACCAGCTCACCAGGTCTCCAGACCAGAGACTGGGTGAAGCTGAAAACAAGAAAGACTGACTCCCATCAAAGCACCATGAGAACCATAATTCAGCCTCAAAGGCAAGGATAGAGGCACAAGAACCAAGCAAGAGAATTAGGGGGTAGTGAAAACACATAACACAAGGGTGCCTTGATTTTATCCTGTGATGCATCTTGCTTATCCTTAACAAAGGGAGTTCTTACACAGAAAAGGGTGCAAGTTAAGTTGATGGTTTAAGACTCCAGTTAAAAAGAAGAAAAACTGAAGGCCTGTAAACAGAGATGTGAAGTTACCACCTGGTGGCAGCATATCTAAACCGAAGACTCTGTGTGTGTGTGTGTGTGTGTGTGTGTGTGTGTGTGTGTGTGTGTGTGTGAAAGAAGGGAGTGGAACAGAGCCATAATCTCCAGCTCAGACCCCTGGCACTTCCTCCCACCTCCCCTTGATTAAACACTGGAACTGCCCCGTGGTTATTTGGGGTTCCCTTTGGTGGAGAGGTATTCATTCACCCTTTCCCAAACCTAAGCAATTAAAGGGGCAGATTTGTCCCAACCACACTCATGGGCTCTCCAAGGTAACTGGCCTAAAGCCTTGTACTCTGTGGTACCATCCTGGGAGCCAGTGAAATGCCTAAGTAGTGAGTGAATTCCCCAAATATTGCTTTTCAGCATTTAAGATTTACCATTACAAATGACAGTGAAGGTAAGCCCTGGTAAATCCTGCATTTAGACATACAGAAGCTGTTCCTGAGGAGAGTCCACCCCAAGGACAGTAAGTGCACCCCCAGAAGGACAGACGAGGAGGTCCCTTTGCTAGTGTGGTGGGCAGACAGACTTTGCTCTAGGAACCAGAAGACTTGGATTCCTGAACCGGTTTTCCCTTGATAGACTTAAGAATGTTACCAACTCTCAGAGCCTTTGGTTCCCTCCCTATACAGTAGAAACGGTTCTATCCATCACGGCAGAGGATGAGTGGGTGGGACAACAGAGATAAACTGCTGGTCTACAGGTAGGGAGGGTGAATCCACGGCCATCACCATGCTAGTGCTGCCCCAGCATCTGAGATGGATCTGCTTGCCCTCTATCCTGTTTCTTTGGGGACCGAACTGCTCTCTCACCCGGGCAGTCACTGTCGGTAAAATGATTCTTCCCAGGCCCGAGTTGCTGCATCTTGTGAACCAGCAGGGAAGAGATCATTCTCGGGTTAAACTGGACAACAGAGAAAAACAAACCTAATCATGGCCACAGTCCAAAACCTCAGAGATTATATGATCTGGCAAATTAAAACTCTGATCAATTCATTCCCCACCCAAATAGCAGTCACATCTTACACCCTGCCTCCCTCCTGGTAGCCTCCCTGGGTCTGTGACATCCAGAACTTCCTGACCCAAAGGGACTTTACAAGCTGCCATAGCCTTGGCTCATCTGTGAAGAGTCTGCAGGCATACTTCTCCCCAAAGGTGCTAGGAGGGGACTTCACACCACCTCTGGCTCCCAGTCAGCCTGGGCCTCCTACTCAAAGGACTCCTCATGGTGCCTTTTCCATAAGCTCATGCATGGGAAAGCCAGGCTTTCTCCCTTGCAGGTCCGGAAAGGGTAGCTTAGCCCTCCCAGAAATCCCGCTAATCAGGAAGCCAGCCTGTTGGTGGATATTTAACTTGTCTTTCTTGAATCTATTAAGTAGACCCAGAGGGAAAGAGCGCTAAGTCCTGAGCAGATTTCAGAGTGCTTAGCGCTCCATAGTACACGACAGTAACGCCTCAAGAAGTCTCAGGGTGGCCATGCAGCTGTGCCCACCTCCTCCCCACCAGCCTCAGCGCTGAAATCCAATCTCATTTAGATCAGTGACTCTGAATGGTGGCAACCATCCCCTAAAGGCTGCTCTGAAGACCCTTGGCGGTGGCTCTGAGTGTGGCTACCTGCACAGGGAGGGATATTTCATATGTCTTTACATGCAGGCATGCCTAAGCGTGTCTTTTCTATGTCTTTACATGCAGGCATGCCTAAGCGTGTCTTTTCTATCTCTTTATAGGGAGACATGCCTAAACATGTCTTTTCTATGCCTTTACATGCAGGCATGCCTAAGCGTGTCTTTTCTAGGTCTTTACATGCAGGCATGCCTAAGCATGTCTTTTCTATGTCTTTTTAGGGAGACATGTCTAAGCGTGTCTTTTCCACTCACTCCTCTTTTACAACTCAATTAGGACAGTGTAACAAAGCAGGAGAGCTTCATGTGTGAGCAGGTCATGTTATACATGAATTGCATGTCAGATAGGAAAGTGGGTAGGGGCATTGTAAAATGCTTGTTATAAAAAGGGCCCATCCAGACTAATGGGGCCAAGAGCTTCTTGATCGGAAGACCATGTTGTCAAAACTAGTGACTTCCAGGCAAGCGGTAGAGGAAGCTGGGAGAAGGGCTCTGCTGGTTATGAAACATGACTGCGGCCCTGATGTTGTTGCAACACGGGATCTTCACGGTGGTGGTTGCAGAGGTAATCAGGGGCTTTCCCCCTTCAGACTAGAAAGAAGAAAGCCATTTCTGAGCAACAGGATGAGAAGCAGAACTAGGCTGAGCTACTTACAGAGGTCTTCTGTGGCTGCTGGGGCAAAGGCAGCCATGGACTCATACAGCTCCTCGTCACAGCCAGGGTTGAGGGAACATTTCATGAGCAGGTCTGTGGACAGGTGGGCCATGGACTCGTACACGTCGTCAGCCTCCTCGCCATGCATCAGCTCCTCTTTAATGTGACTCTTCAGCATGTCCACTGTCTCCTGCAAGGGAAGATGAGCTCGGTGCACACGACGTTCCCAGATAGTCTGGAAGACTCAGGCCCCAAGTGGGCTTGAGGTGGGCGAAGGGAGTAATCATGGGTCAGGGTTACAACTGCTTGTGGGTGTCGGCATTCCCCACCTGACAGGGAGCTCTGTGGAGCCAGGCAGCAGGCCCTCTTCTCCTATTTGCCTAACCCTGCTTGTTCTGATCTCTGTATCTTCCTCAGACGCTAATCACAGAGTTAAGAATTTACATCCTGGTTCGAGAGGACATACACATGTAAACACTGCACCCTCATGAGTATCTAGTAAGAATCAGACTCAACAGCGGGCACACTTCTGTACCCATTGTCACTTGGAAGGCACGCTACTCTCCCTTGTTCACAGATGAAAAAAACAAAGCTCAGAAAACCTGGTCTTCCCTGCAAGGTATAAGATATTACACCTTGTAACACCTGTAAGGTATTACAATCTCCGTTTTGATCCTTTTACCATATCCCTGTGAGGGCTCAGGGGGAAACAAATGACACCCAGAGCCACACAGACGCACCGTGGTTTGGTAGGGCTAAGTTGAGATGTTCCCAGACTTGTGCAGCCAGGGGTCCCAGGGGGATGTCCCCATCCCTGTCCTTCGGGAAGGTTTATCCAAGTGTCTGACAACTTCTAGGGTTTCCTCCCCCAGTTTCAACATTCGAGATGTCCCCAAAGACAGCTGCCCTCACATAAAGGGCGCTGACATCAGAAAGGCTTCCCCGTCCCTCTGCCTCCAGAGGGTTTGAGGCTGACTTCCCTGCAACCTCTGAACAACTGTTCCTGGCCAGACATGGTAGTGTGTCACAATCCTTACCTCAGCCTCAAACCACAGAAACCCTCCTCATCAGCACCAGCTGACAGAGGTCACTTTTGGCTGATAGTGTGTTATTCTCCTGGTGAGAACCCAATGAACTAAGAAACAGGTTCTTAGTGGTGGGGACTCTAGGGATAGCATATGGCAAATAAATAAACAAACAAGCAAACAAACAAACAAAATCTGACACTCCATGAGCATCATGAAGGGACAGCCTTTGGTGTCGAGGCGAAAGAGGCATTGGTGGAAGGTGACTTCGCTAGGAGCCAAGATGACACAAGAAATGCGAGTCAGAGCAGCACTGCACTAGGTTCAAATCTTACCTCTACCTTTTCCAGTGTGAGCCTCTAGGCACATTCACCTTGGCTTTCTCCATCCTCGTTTATAAGACGAAGGTCTTAGTCCCTTCAACTTGAAGGGAGCGGGGCGAAAGTTACGTGAGACAGGGCATTTGCTGATGAAATGAGCCCAGTAACTTGGTTACTACCCTGAACACAGAGTGGCCTTGCCAAAAATTATGAACACAAAAAATGGCATACTGTGTTCGGCACATTTGAGAGTCTGAAGTAAAGTCTTAAAGAAGGTTATGAGTGTCTCTGTGCCCATTTATGCCAATGAGGACCCAAACAAAGACTTAAACTATTCTGATTGCTTGAAACACCTACAAATCCCCCAAAACATTGGAAGCCCCTGTATGTTCCTTGGCATCACTGCCTTGTAGATTTTCTATCAAATAGAAATAGAGTTAAGTGTCTGAAGTGATGTCAGACTCACTTGTGTCTGGAGGTAGCAAGCAAGACCACATTAGTCTGGCTGCTTATTTTGGTGTTCACAGCCAGATGAGATAGTCTTAGGTGCCCCTGGTAAGTTGGAAAAGAAGGAGGAACACCCGAAGGTAGTGGAGTGAAGAACTGTTTCCTCCAAGACAATGGAGGCAATCATGGACAAAATAACACCAGGCATGGCACAGGATTGAACTCAGAGCAGGACTCGGAAGTCGGCAACCAAGGGTGAGTTGCCAAGAAGTCTGGTGTATCCAACTGCCTTAAGTTCAGATCCAAGCAGAGGCTCAGAGAGAAACTGGGTACTAGCAGGAGATGAGGTCTCAAAGTTGGCTACTTGGATGCTTCCTCAGGATAGAGCCTTATTATGGGCTTCACCAAGGAAGGAATCAATTCTAACACAGTTTACCTGGGCCCAAAGGTGGGCAAGGCAGCTAGGGACATCCACCACAGAACCTGGAGGCAGGTGGGGAGAGGGCTCAGCATCAGCCTTGAATAGACATGAACGTTCCCGTTGATATTTTGGAAATGGCCTCAGTGTTTTGCATATGCTAGTTCCTTTTAGTCTAAAACAACTCTATGAACAGACCTCTTAGGATCTTTCCTTCCGCATATTAAGAAATGGGAGAAGGGGGCTGGAAAGATGACTCAATGGTTATGAGCACTTGCTGCTCCTGCAGAGGACCTGGGTTCTATTCCCAGGACCTACATGGCAGCCACAACAAGAAACAACTCCAGTTGCAGGGCATCTGATGTGCTCTTCTGGGGGCACCAGGCATGCATACAGTATGTATAGATACACACAGCAGAAACACTCGTACACAAGAATAAGAGTAAATTAGAGAGAAAAGAGAGAGAACTTGTGATATGCCCCAAGTCTCACATGACTACCAAGTAGGTACAGGAATTTGAACTCAGGCCCATAAAAACTGCCCACGGCCAGAAAGACACACAAGGACGTGTTAGAGACAAAGACCCATCAGTGTCTTTGATGAAAAGACACCAGTACATGACCTATCGCAGGGCCTTTCTCCCCTTGACCTTACCACATACTCGTCGATGAACTGGCGCAGGTCCCTGAAGCCGTGTTTCTCGGCAATGGTGTTGGGATAGTGGCCATGCCTGTTGGCCACACTATATGCCTGGAGAGCCCCTGGACAGGTGAGTAACAGGGCCGTAAGGTTCTTCAATCCATACTTTGCAGCAAAATGCAATAGGGTGGGCAGCTCTTCATCCCTCTGATCTAAAGAAAGGCATCAGGGAGACTTTAACTGAAGGGTAAGAGGGAAGGCATAGGATACCTTTGTTCCCAGAGGCTGCTTTCCCAGAAGGCCCCGGGCTTGATTCCTGACACCCACATAGTGGGTCATAACTATCTCTAACTCCAGTCCCAGATGATCCAGCACCCTATTCTGGCCTCTGAGAGCACTTCACACACATGGTGCACAGACATACATGCAGGCAAAACACACATACACACAAAATAAAAATAAAGGAAAAAAATGTTCAAATAAAAAGATGTCTATCCGCTTATCTCTTATTACCAATTTTGCAAATATGCCAAGAAAACAAGTAGGCTCATGCTGGGGACTTAGGGGATAAAATTTATTTTTTCCTTTTCATAAAAGTTGATTTCTAGGCCCTGTCACTTTATGTGTTTATTTATTTTCTCTTCTTTTCATATATGTGTGTGAGGTATAGTGCATGTGTGTATGTGTATTTGCAAGTATGTAAGCTTCTCTAAGGGGGATGCACATGTGGAGGCCTAGGATGATGTCAAGAATCTTCCACTGTCACTCTTGCACCTTATTCTTTTAGGCAGGGTCTCTCACTGAAACCCAACACAGCTAGCCTGCTTGCTCCAGATCATCTGTTTTGGCCTTCTCAGACTGGGATTACAAATGGGATCATCGTGCCCACTTGGCATTTAAGGGATTCTGAAGATCTAAACTCCTGTACTCTTGCTCGTGTGGACAGTGATTTAACCACTGAGCCACCTCTCCTGTCCTTTTAAAAATTATAAATTCAGTTTCCTGTTCACTGAAGGTCTGAAAATGCCCCCAGGTCCCCATGTTGTCAGGCTATGAGATACTCTCTCCTGGGCCTCATAAGAAGAGAGTAGACTCATTTATAGCAATGAGACAAGAACATTCTATAGGAGGAGAATGAGGAGAGGCAGCAGGAAAGAGAATAGCCCCTGGAAAAGGCCTGGCAAGTAATTCTCTTCCTACTGTTACCACACTGGAGGCAAGTGGAACTCAGTCCAAAGGTAACCAGAGACTTGTGTACCACTGTGAAGTGCCACTGTGATGGGAAGGAAACCCTGTGTAGCACTCCAGGTAATGTCCCCAGGCATGCGGTGTGACTGTCCTGGCTCCTATTGCTACCACAGTGTACGTACATAGGGCCTGCTCCTCACTCAAGTTACAGATGTCTGCCTAAAGACCACAAAGAGCCAGCCCCTGAGGACCGACCCCTCACTGAGATGCCAGCCTAGTGAAAAGACCATTACAGCAGGTAAGCTGTAGGTCAGAAGGCCCAACATGCTAGAGGAGCACGCAGCAGGGAGTGGTATAGACCTCTCGGGGATTGGAAAAGGCCTTCCTTCCAGAGAAAATGCTTCCCGAGAAGATGAAGAGAAAGCCACCAGGAGATCAGCAACCAAGGCAGAGACAGAGAAATGGTGTTTCTGTGAGTGGGATGGCAAGACACATACGTGAGAAGTGTATTTATCCCACGTGGGAACAGAGAACCACTAAGGGGGTTGCAGAGAGAGGGATGCAGAAAAAGGAATGCAGAGAGAGAGAGAGAGAGAGAGAGAGAGAGAGAGAGAGTTGCATGGAGAGGAATGCAGAAGAGGAATGCAGAGAGAGGGTTGCAGAGAGGGATGCAGAGAGTGTGGCATAGAGAGGCAAGGACAGAAGCAAGCAGCCACTCTTTGTGCTTGTTATCAGGCAAAGGAGTTTGAATGCCACCCAGAAGGTAAATGAGAAGCATGCACACTTTTAGAAGGGAGTGTATGCTGTGTCATGACATTCCTGACACTTCTGTCTTCCCAGGTTAGAACAAAGCTGACAAACTCCTATCCCCTATCCATGAGAGGTTAGAACAAAGCTGACAAGCTCCTATCCCCTATCCATGAGAGGTTAGAACAAAGCTGACAAGCTCCTATCCCCTATTTATGCTGCAGCTCTCACTCGCTGGTGACAGTGCTGGTGTGAGTGACCCCACTGGGCTGGCTGCCAGTCGTATAAAAGTATGACACACACAATTATGTACAGCACACCATACTTGATGACGGTACGTGATTATGTCACGGGCTTCCTACTCTCCATATTTTCTATCGTTATTTTAGGCTATATTGCTAATTATTGAAAACATGCCGTGTGAGGGCATGCTGGGCCAGGACAGCAGCACCCTCACACACACTGCTAGACTTCATCCCCTGTCTTTTTGTTCACCTTGGTGCTAGCAGGCAACAAGCTAACTGCCCTTCCCACGTCACACTGCCCAGGCGTGTAGCAGACCACACCATCAACAACTGAAATGGCTGTTGACCTACTTGTCATCATATCTTCTTCTTCCAGTTGGTTGATTCCAAAGAGATGCAGTCCACTTGCAGGGATGTTGTTCTTCAGGGACTCTGTGAGCAGTTTATCAAGAGTCTCTGTGTTGTAGGGTACAATTTTAAAGGCCTGCCATAAAACAGCGAAGATGGTCAGATTTCAGATTCCAGCTAGGCGCTGCCCATCAAGGTTATAGACAGAATCCCTGTGTCCAGAAAGCTCAGGTTTCCTCCCAGCAGCCTTACCTGACACATGAACTCCACAGGGTTTGCAGCACTGGACAGTAAGTTCCCAATTTCCTCCATGTCAGTATAATAGCTGATGGTGGTTTCACATACCACCAAGTCCCCAGAATAGACCTTCAGACAAACATTGCCAGAGGAGAGGTCTAAACAGAACAAAAGATACTGATAAAATGCCAGGGAGAACAGGGTCATGGGCAGCCGTGGGACGTGTGAGTGGGAAGGCAGCTCACAGGGGCTGCAAGGAAGTGTCTGAGCTGAGCTGCAAGGGAAGTGAAGGGGGGATGAGCAGGCCAGCCTGTGGGATCTTAAACAGAAGCATCCTTATCAGGTTGTCAATTGCATTTTTAAAGGGTTTTCATCTGTTTTGCATAATTATCAGTAGTGTGTGTGTGCACGCATGTGTGAATGCATGCATGGCTGCAGATGCCTATGTAGACCAGGGCATAGGATCCTCCTGGAGACTGAGCTATTGGCAGTTGTGAAGGGTTCAATGGGATACTTGGAACTGAACCACCAAGCCAGTTCTCCAGCCTGTTTAACTGAATTCCTCAGGCCTTGATAAACAAGAGCAACAAAAAAAGTTAGGGTCTAAGGTGCTTTTTATGAATGCCCATTGTCACCAAGGGCATCCTGGCAGCTAGAGGATAACTCTTTATTCCTGCCACCATGGACCAGTGGAATCAGCTGACTTGCTCTGTGGCTGTCTGCACTACGTGCTCTTCCTGGAGTAGGAGTCTATACCACCGGAAGAGGTTCTGAGGGGGAAGAAAAGAATTAAAAATACACCAACCACAAAGATTCGATTCACCAAAGAGGAAATGTGACGAGTCGTGAATGTGGAAAATTATTAAATCTCACTGGCAATCCAGGACGTGCAATTAAAACAACGCACACGCTGCTTTTTGAAAAGCCAGCAATGCCTGGGGCTGGAGATGGTTCGGCAGGTGAGCTTGAGAAGAGCAGTGTTTCAGAAGGCAGCAGAGCGCACACTCTTGTGTCAGCATGGGGCCACTCACCTGGAGCCTTCACCGAAACCGTGTACTCATTCTCCAGCGTGCCCTCCACCCGGACGGAGGGGGAGTCCTCAGGGGAAAACTCTGCCTCTGTCGACACCTTCTCATCCAGCTTGCATCTCACGATGACGTACACGGTGGTTTCTGCCTGCAGTGGGAGACAGGTTCAGGTGTCTCTCCCTGCTCTATCCCTTAGAGAGCCAGGTCAAGGGGGTCCCAGCTCCTGGAGACCCAGCTCACTCTCTAGTGTGGATGGTTCTGGCCAGTAGGTTTGGGCAGACCAGTGCTGGACAAGAACCACAGGCTACCAACCTAGTGAAGCAACTTAGGGAAAACAGACTAGACATTTATAAACTTCTACAGCAATTGGAGAGAAACTCTGTCTATTCATTACACACAACTCTTCTAAACTTAGGATTTATAGATGCTCATTTCATTTATAACATTTAAAAATGCTTTTAAAACGTACACATCTATAAAAGCAACTTAAATGGACTTACCATATACAATGGGTAAAACAAGCCTCAACTAGATATCATTTGCTACCAAGTAAAAGCCCCGTACCAGAAATGGGTGATGTCTTTTTGAGTTTTTGGCTGATGTGATCCCACAGATCACCCCCTAAAAACCATTGCCGGCTATTGCCGATGCTACTGGTTACCCTCCACAACCTGACGCTAAGACCCTGTTGCTGAAGACACCGTGCACGTATGTCATCAAACACCGAGCTATCTGGCTGCTGCACAATTAGAAGCTTCACCCCCACTGACTAGTATTCACAGTGATGGAAGGTGCTCTACTCACTACTAGAGGAGAAATGTAATCGTCAACCAGTATCACCCAGTTACAGACACTGCAGTCGACAACAGTGGCCTGCAAGACATACCGGCGAGACAGTGGCATAAATGTGAAAGGAGTAACCAAACACTTTTTTAAAAAATGGGTTTTAAGGCCCACTCCATGAGATAGAATACATGGCTGATGCTGTTAATGAGGTCAAGAACTGAAAACTACAGAGGTCATTGGTACCAGGGGAAAACTCACTATTATTCTGCTAAATGAGCATAGCAATTAAATGGCTCTTAATGACATATTGCTATACCTATATTTTTGCAATACCAGTATATTGCTCAACCTTCTCTACAGAAGCTTCTTGCAGTGATGATAACTAACACAGAGACCCACATCTGAACATGAAGAGGGTGAGCAAGGCATTGAAGCACTCATCCCTAAATGGGATGTCTTTATCAAGCCCCTCCCTTCAAGGTTCGGGATCTACGTAAAAGAGGAGGCAGAATGATAGTAAGAACCAGCAATGGACAGCGCCAAGGAAACAGTGTTTTCCGGATACAGGGCTAATGCTCATATGAACTCAGAGACCATGGCAGCACGCACAAGATCTGCAGACATTCAAGTCAGATCTCCCAATGTGGAGAAACACAAGTGAACACAAAGTCCTACCATCAGCAAAAAGCTATTTACAATGATACTTCCCGTGGAATATTCCTTTACACTGTGTGAGTATATGCTGTTCTGATTAGTTTAATAAACAAGCTGACTGACCAATAGCTGAACAGGATCAAGTTAGGTGGGAAAGCCAAAAGGAGAATGATGGGAGAAAGAGAGGCAGAGTCAGGGGTCACCAGGCAGACGCAGAGGGAGCAGGAGATGAATGTGCCATGCTAATAAAGGTCCTGCCACATGGAAGAGTGTAAATAAGAGCTAGTTAGTAATAAACCTGAGCTATCTATCTACCTATCAGCTGAGCACTTATAAGTAATATAAGCCTCTGTGTGGTAATTTGGAAGTGGCTTCTGTGAGAACTTCTGTCTACAGATAGATACCTGCTGGGAAAGGGAAAATCAGTTTTCTCCAACCAAATATAAGGAGGTATACCAACCACACTCCAGGACAGGCCTCATGCTCAGTAGTTGGCCAATACAAAATTGACTCCATGGTTTTATGTGCTTGTTTGTTTGGATAGTTTCAATGGGATATTTTTTTCTTTTCTTTTCGAGAGAAAGTATATGAAGTTTAATGGAAGAATCTGGGAAGTGTTGAGGGAGGGGAAAGAATATGAACAAAATATATTTATGGAAAGTTTCAAAAAATTTAAGCAGAAAAAATTGTTTTTACAAAATCTCTATAGCATCAAATAATTGGATTTTTATTTTTTGAGACAGTGTCTCATCGTGTAGCCCTGGTTGTCCTGAACTTGCAATGTAGGCCAGACTGGCCTTGAATTTAGGGGTACATCTTCCTCTGCTTCCCAAGTACTGAAATTAACAGCATATGCCACCATGCCTGGGAGGCTTTTGTTTATTTTTTAAGTCCTTCCCCCAGATATGAGAAACTCTTCTCTAGACAAGCTTTGCTATTGCATGTGACCAAGTTAGCAACACCATTGCCACCCTTGGAGCAAGTTAGTCAGGCAAACTATGAGGTCCTTCCTGCCACTGAATCAGGGTCTGCACTTAAAACAATTTAGAACCGGGATCTCATGTAACTTAGACTAGCCTCTAAGCAGGTTCTCATGTAGCTTAGGCTAGCCTCATACTTGCTATGCAGATGGTGACCTTGAACACTGGACTCCCCATATCCACCTCCCAATTACTAGTCTGATTGATCGGCATGTTCCACGATGCCCAGTTTTTCGTGTGGTGCTGGGAATCAAACCCAGGGCTTCACGCCTGCTAGGCAAGTACTCTACCACCTGTGCCGCATCCCTGGTCCCAGAGTCTACATTTCGACCAGACGCCCAGCTAACTCTAAGAGTCCACACTGAGCCTCACAAAGTAGCCCTCTTCCAAACTCCCAAATCCAAATATGCTCTGACCTGACACCACAAGGGGAAAGTTCCACACTTGGTTAACATGTCCAAAACCCAAATGCAAGGGCAATAACATGTTGTATAAAACTCTAGTCAGGCTATGTATAACATGTATATGAAACAAAAATACTTTGTTCTAAAACATATCCTGTTATACATATGCAAATAATCCAGTATCTCTATAACCCCCCAAATTCAAAATCTGAGACACTTCAGGTCCTTAGCCTTTTGAGGAGGAGATACTCAACTTGTCTCTGGACTTGGCAATGGCCACTTTAGACAAAACCAGTAGGGCTGGGCCCTGCCCAAAACCAGAAAGGTGAGAAGAGATTTCTGGTCAGAGTTAGTCTTTAATCATTCATTCCAGGACTATGATATAGTTGTCATGACAACCCTTTTACAAGGGCTGCAGAAGGGTGTTCCAGGCTTGGCCTTTGTAACAAGGGAAGGTGTGTGGTCCAGATTGCTAAGGCTGCTATAACCAAGCACACACTCTGGCTGTCAGCATTCCGGCTACACACCTGGTCCTGCACCTTGTCTCAGTAAGATGAGGAGCCTAATAGAATATGTGTCAGTCCTGTTGGCAATCAGGTCCCACCCCCAGCCCAGGCGCCCCTGGCCCATAGACCTAGAGGAGGCAATGCGGCTGATCCTGGGTGAGAGGGCAGCTGAGGGAGGCAGGAAGAAGAGCGAGCGGGATGAAGCACGCAGAGGCCCCACACAGCCTTACCACTGCACCTGCCGTCTGACCACACAGTCGTGGGAAACATAGCACTGGGAGAGCGAGCCTGAAATGTCCACAGAGCCTAGCACGAAGGGGAAGAGTGCAGCCCTCTGAGTTTAAAGAACAGGGAGTGGCCAGGCATGGTCCTGACACTGGGAGAACAAGACAAGAGGATCGATCACAAGTTAAGGTCAACCTGGGCTAGGTAGAAAAACTGTCTCAAAGTCTCCCAAATAAAAATAAAAAATGAAGATTAGAGAATGGTGGGGACCAGGCTAGAGGATGAGTGTCCCGTGCATTAAAAAAAAAAAATAGGGCACAGAGCCCCACGACCAGTTATCGCAAGCCTAAAACCACAGTTTCTGACTCACAAGAAGCTAAGGAACACCAATTTTTATGCCTAATTTTTAAAAACACTCTGAAGTTCAAACTAAACATGTCTAAGGGTCAAACCCAGTCTACAAAATGTTGGCAACTCCTGTGCAGGGACCCCTTGTACGGTATCTGTGGCCTCAGTTTCAGAGACCTCACACTTCTTATTGCCAAAGTTCTCGTGCCCTGTAGTCCTGGGAAGCCGCAGAGGCAAGTGCAACAAACAGCACGCGTCCATGAAGAAAGCTTTGCTGCTCTAACCTATTCAAAATGCCCCACATTTTAAATCAGGGAAGGAAAGAATGCTGAAAATGACCAAATCTTATAATAGAATTTAAAGGACTATCATGAAGTCTCACATACAGCTCACTTTTGAATATATGACCACCCTAACATGCTAGCCACATAGGACTTAGATATTTGGCCAATCTTTTTAGCAAGCAATAGTGGCCAGCAAGTGTCAGCCATTAAACCTTAAAGCCCTCCCAGAGGCCAGGATAGTGACCAGCTAATGAAGAATATCCCACTTCTTCCCAGTGCCGGGCCAGCAGGAAGAGATCAGGCCTCTAACTCTGGAGTCTCTAGCAATGTTCGTGCCTGCTGGTGTCCTGTCTGCCCTATGTTACACATTCACGACCCAGAATTCTTGCGTTGATGATACATATACTCCCAGGTGTAATCTCTGACTTAACAGAGTTATTCACGTCCAAGGCCCTGGTGATGTGGGCCTCAAGGGACAGTTTTGGTTATAATAAGAAGCATCACGATATCCCCCAGACCCTTTACTGCAACAAAGGCACCGACTTGCAAAGTCAGCGCTCTGATGGGGATCTACCAGGATCCCAGGATGCCTACCCCACAGCGAATGCGGTCCGGCTGCACCACCATCAGGTTCCCAGGCGACGTCTCCAGAGGCAGGTTTGTCTGCTTTGAGAGAGGAAGAGCTCTCTCGTCCTCGGGCTCCGTGTCAGTTACTGAATCACAGCCAGAATCTATGGAATACAGGACATGACTGAATGGGAGCAGGAAAAGGAGAACTGGCAGACATGATTCACCCCCAAAGCCCCACACATTACCATGCAGGAAGCAGAGCGGCTGTGAGTGTCACACAAATCCAAACTGAAGGGAGTGACTCACTGAGTCACAAAAGAGGACCCAATGGGGAAGAATCAACCACTCTGTAGGACAGAGACCAGAATGATAGCAAGGGGACAGCGTCAGGGGGTAAGGCCACAAAGTTTGAGGCAAGCAAGTCTAGGTTCAACCAACAGGCTTCTAGAAGCCTCACCTCAGGATTCCCTGCAGGGCTCAAAGGTGGTGAGGAAATTGGAGTCAGGAAGGAATTGCCTACTTTATAAGAGAACAAGAAACTTCAGAAAGTGACAGGAACTCGGGCCCCACCTGCCCAACATAGCCCTTCTGTGAGCAGCAGTGAGAAGGGATCATTTTCAACCATTGGGTTCCAGACCAGTGCCACGGCCAAACCCATGCTGGCCGGGTCAGGGATGGAGACAAGGATGCTGTTTGCTGCCAACTTGCCACTACCTAGAACCACCTGAGAAGTTAGGTCTGACCGGAATTATCCAGGCCAGCTTGGTCTGCGGACATGTCTGCGGGGGGTGGGGGGGGCTGTTTGACTGCCAACTGATGTAGGAAGAACCAGCCATTGTGGTGGACCGTCCACTAAGCAGACTCCAGATTTTTATACAGAAGAGGAGAAAGCTAGATAAGGGAAGCAGGAAGCATGAAACCAAATGTTTCTCTCTGCTCTTGACTGTGGATGCGACATGACATGACTAACTGCTTGAGTTCCTACCTTGGCTTCCCCTTCAATGGCGGTCTGTAACCTGGGAGAGTAAACCAAACAATCTCTTCTTTCCTAATCTGCCTTAGGTCTGGGTGATTACTCGCAGTACCAGAAATGAAGCCAGCACACAGACATCTGATGAGGCAGGCAGAGGTGTGCAGACGTGACGAGCATGGCAAAGATGGTGAGTCAATGGTGAGAACATGTAAGACCTCTTCAGCAGGGCTCCTAAGCAGCATTCAGTGACTGACAGGCCTCCTTTGAGGTTATACCCAAGACGGCGTGTGTGCCTACATACAGATGACAAACCCACACATGAAAAATGAGTCACCTCCATGTTATCAGGAAATGAAAATCAAAGAAACAATGACATACCATGACACATCTATTAGGATGGTCAAAACCTAAATATAGATGACACCAAATGTCTTCAAGGATATGCAATATCAGGTTCCCTCTACTAGTGGGAAAGCAAACACAGTATAGCCACTTCAGAAGGCACTTTGGCAATTTCTTACCAGATTAAATACACTTACAATCATTCTCTTTGGTATTTCCCCCAAAGCTTGAGAACCTGCACACAGATGTTTATAACAGTTTTCTCCATTGCTGCCAGAAGCTGGGAGCGACCAAGAAATCCTCTAGTAGCTGAACGGATACACGAACAAGAGCACAAGCAAGCCATCATGGAATACAGCCCTGGACAGAAATGAGCCCATAGGAGAACTGAAAATGGCTAGTTTTTGTCAACTTGACACAAACTAGGGTCATCTAGGAAGAGGGAACCCCAACTGAGAAAATGTTCCCATCAGACAGGGCCCCTTAGCAAGTTTGTGGGGGTATCTTCTTCATTGATGATTGAAGTGGGAAGGCCCAACCCACTGTGGGTGGGGTTACCCCAGTGCAACATAGTCCTAGGTGGTGTAAGAAAGCAAACTGAGCAAGCCAAGGCCAGCAAGCCAGTGAGCTTATCTTCCTTATCTCTGCTACTTTGGTGCTTGCCTCCAGGTTTCTGCTGCTTCTTTTTTTTTAATTTTTTTTATCATTTATTTATCTTTATTTTATGTGCATTGGTGTGAAGGTGTCAGATCCCCTGGAACTAGATTTTCAGCCAGTTGTGAGCTGCCATGTGAGTGCTGGGAATTGAACCCGGGTCCTCTTGAAGAACAGTCAGTGCTCTTAACCGCTGAGCCATTTCTCCAGTCCCCTGCTTTTTTAATGAACCATAAGCCAAAATAAATTCTTTTTTTGGTCCTGGTGTTTATCACAGTAATAGAAAGCAAAGGAGGATACTGAGCGAAAGAAGACGATAGACTGTGTGGCTTCTACCATATGACATTCAGAAAAGAACAAAACTATAGGAGGAAAAGGAAATCCATGGTAGCCAGGTCTTGGGAAGAGGGAGGAATAACCAGTTGGATTGCATAGATTTGTTTCTTTAGGGTAGTGAATGTATTTAGCACGAAACGTCATCAAACATTTGTCCAAATCCATTAACTAGACAACACCAAGGGTCCACTGCGATGGTATTGGGCTCGTGACACTGGATGTGTAAGCTCCTCTGCTGAAGCCTATGTGCCATCATGGTGTTGGTTAATAGTGTTGGACGCTGCATGTAAGTAGAAAACCTTCAAAGTTTCCACTTGATTTTTGCTGGAAACCTAGAACTATTCTCAAAAGCATTCTTCTAAAAATAATTAAAACAGCAAAAAAAAGTCAATCACCACAAAATAAAGGAAATGGTTGGTAAGGTAGTCCTGGAAAATAAGGGAGGAGGGATAGGGTACTATGAAACTCTTCCTAATTCACAAAACTCCCAGATGAAATTAAGGTGAATTACAGATTGAAACGCAAAATAAAAATAAAATGAATTTTAAAAATCAAAATATGGAAATATAGGGTTGGGAAAAGATTTGTATAACCACTGAGAAAATTGCCATCTCAGTGAGCAAGAAATTTGACAAGACAAATTTAACATTTTAGTAAACAAAGATGGAAAAAAATAAAATGTGGCATAACCGTGGAACGAAATAATTCAGCAATGAAAAGGGATGAGTCATAGATACGCGTCATGGCAGGGATGAACCTGGAAGACGTGTGTGCTAAGTGAAAGAAGTCAGGCGCAAAAGGCCACATACATCTCGTGAGTCCAAACACCTGTGTCCAGGATGGGCACACCTGTCGAGGCAGATGAAAGCAGGTTAGCTCTTGCTTCAGCCTGGAGAGTTTGGGGTGACTGCAGGGAAGTAGCCAAAGGATACAGGAGTTTTCTGAGGTGATGAAAATATTCTAAGACCATATGGAGACAATGCATAATCCGTGAATGAAGCAAAGACTGTCGAGCTGAACTCTTTTATTTGTATTGACTTTTATTGAGCTCTACATTTTTCTCTGTTCCCCTCCCTGCCTTTCCCCACCCTTCAACCCTCTCCCAAGGTCCCCATGCTCCCAATTCACTCAGGAGATCTTGTCTTTTTCTACTTCCCATGTAGATTAGATCCATGTATGTCTCTCTTAGAGGCCTCATTGTTGTCTAGGTTCTCTGGAATTGTGGTTTGTAGGCTGGGTTTTTTTTTTTTTTTGGCTTTATGTTTAAAAACCACCTATGAGTGAGTACATGTGATAATTGTCTTTCGGGGTCTGGTCTAGCTCCATCCATGTGTCTGCAAATTTCAAGATGTAGATATTTTTTCTGCTGTGTAGTACTCCATTGTGTAAATGTACCACATTTTCCTTATCCATTTTTCAGTCAAGGGGCTTTTCGGCTATGACAAACAATGCTGCTGTGAACATAGTTGAGCACATGTCCTTGTGGCATGATTAAGCATCCTTTGGATATATAAGAAAAAGTGGTATTACTGGGTCTTGAGAAAGGTTGTTTCCTAATTTTCTGAGAAATCGCCACACTGACATCCAAAGGGGTTGTACCAGCTTGCACTCCCACCAGCAACGCAGGAGTGTTCCCTTTACCCCACAACCTCTCCAGCATAACTTGTCATCAGTGTTTTAGGGAAAAACATGAGTAGACAAGGTAAAAACACATACAACACCACAAAGAGCAACATGACACCAGTAAAAGCTAGAGACCCTACAACAGCAAGACTTGAACAACAAAATATAGATGATGAAGAAGAAAATGACCTAAAAAATAACTTCGGAAGAATGTTTGAGACTCTTAAAGAGGAAATGAGAAATTCCCTCAAAGAAACGGAGGAAAAGACAAGCAAAAAATTGGAGCTGACCTCTTTGAAGAGGGGGTCATGCACCATGTGAATTATTTCTTATAACAACTGTTATCCAAAATCCTAACTGAGAAATCATAAACTGTTTAAATTTCAAAGTAATTGTGACAAGAGGTGATCTCCTATATGAAGAGGACATAGAAATCTCCTTGCAAACATCTCACACTCAATAAATGACAAAATAGAAATATAAAACTCCTCCCCGCTCAGAAAGCACAGTGTCACTCATTCTGATCAGCCAGTGGGAGACACTGAAGAACAACCTGTGTTGCTGTTTCTCTTTTCCAAACTAAGACGTACTGGGTGACAGAGTCCCTCACTCGGTGACAGGCCCAGATTGAGCAGAAGAGAAAAGCACTGAAATGCACACTTGGCCACGTAATTCTGCTTCCAGGGCCACGTAATTCTGCTTCCAGGGCCACGTAATTCTGCTTTCAGGGCCACGTAATTCTGCTTCCAGGGCCTCTCTTGGGGAGGAAGATAAATGTCCCGAGCATAAAAATATTGAAACAAGATGTCTTTGTTTCAAGGACAAAACAAAAACAGTATGAACATGAAAAACATTATTTTGGCTGGGCATGGTGCTGTACACCTTTAATATCAGAATGCAGGAAGCAGGGACAAGAGCATCTCTGTGAGTTCCAGACCAGTCTGGCCTATATATTGAGCTCCAGGTCGGCCAGAGCTGTACAGGAACAGCCTGTTCTCAAGACAAACAAACAAAACCCACGCTATTTTCAGAGTTTTGAGAAGCATATCAAGGACACATACCAAATCATATATTTCACACTACAGGATTTCAATTTTACTCAATTCTCTTCAAAGGTCAGAAGAAAATCTATGTGATTTTTTTTTTCCTTCCTTCCTCCTCCCCTCCCTCCTTCCTTCCTTGCCTGTGTTTTTATATTTTCCATAGTGAGAAAGCCCCCTTTGATTATGAGTT